TATATATATATATATATATATATATATATATATATATATATATATATATATATATATATTAATATGATGGTGATAGATTGTAAGCCTTCCTAGGAGACCAAGACTACTCTGTCATGAGTTCAATTCTCACTGGGTGCGTTACTATCATGGATTATGACAGATTATATCAAATCAAATGAAGATAAAAATATCTTGTCATGTAATCATGAAATCCAATTCAGTTATTTCTTTTCATACTCGTCTTTTCAATTCCATGATTTTGTATCAATGCACTTTTTTGCCCTATATATATATATATATATATATATATATTTGTTGTGAAATATATATATATATATATATATATATATATATATATATATATATATATATATATATATATATATATATATATATATATATATATATATATATATATATATATATAAATGATGTGCCGAGGCATTCATGTTATTTGTTTGTTTGTTTATAAACCTTTCCATTCTTTCTGAGCAACATTTTTCTCGCCGATTTTTTTACCAATGTGTGCGTTGCTATTGGCAAGGAGCTTCTTTCAACTTTCATATTCATAATCAGATATCAAATGCAGGTATAAACACGAATTTGTATTTTCCCCATAAAAACAACAGCGACAGTTTCAACATCGACATCACTCCTGCGTATTTCGTGAAGGCTAAAAAAGAAAAGTTATCGATAACACATACATTCTTATACTTACACACACAAATATACTGATTTTTTCCATAACGTTTTCCCAGTGGCACGAATTGATGCACTTGTTTCCGGCACACCATATAAAATGAGCTCATCACGTGATGGTATTATATTAACAAATCCAATCTCGATGGGGCGTGCAGAGGACTTGTTTCAGCAATTATACTTGTAGCTATGGTGATTCTGAACGTCAACTTTGCAAGTGCTGGTCTACTGCGCCAAGTAAACTATAATCAAAAAAGTAAACAGACAGTGAATAATTTAGTAGGATCGGAAATATGCAAGAAACAAATATGATATCAGTTGTAAGCTAGAAAAAGGTTACTGAATGAGGAATAACTAAAACGGAAATTGGAAATGAAATGGTAATCTTTATAACATCAACAAAATACAATACTCGCCAGCGGCGTGAAGTAGGTAAACCACTGCTAGTAATGGACTATTTAGAGAGCATATTATCCACCCCACTTTACAATACAGTCCAACGTATTTATGAGGATTGGGAGATGGCCATTAGTGTTCATAGGTACGGTACACAAAAATATCCTTTCCAAAGACAAGAATAGCAATTGATTAACACTCACATCAAATATGTGCCACAGACTCGTGTTACTTTGTGTTATAATTAACCTAAAAACTCGAGTCATCTTCTAAAATAGCTTCGTCAGATCAAGAATTTTATATGGATGTCATGCGTGGCACCAAACTCGTTCAGAAATATCTAAACAGTCAACCTTATACAACCGCTTTCTAAAATCAATAGTTAAAAATGGCTTTGAGCGAGTGTAACATATGAGTCTAGGTGAACACCACACTTCTGTCTTTGAAGGATGTGAAGTGGCTCTAAAGAAAAACAAACAACTGTATTGGATAACAGAAGCCACATCACTTAAGTAGTTTAAACAGAATCAAGAGTTAAAAGTGATATCACATGCAACTCGAATATAAAAAAATGACATAGTCGAGAAATTCACATTCCGCACTGCTTCAATACAAGATTAGGAAGAAAAACCCCGTCAACACTTGAAAGAGCGATAACAGCTACTGGACTTGATAAAACTATTTTCCTGACAAAAATGTTTTAAGACTAAGATTTTATAAATTTTAACCGACAGCAGTACTTAATGCTCAGTGAATGAATGCTGAATGTTTCCTTTTAAGGAAACGGTTACTACTATTGCAATAATCCCACTGTATATGTCAGCGGATATTCATTCATGAACAGGTGCAGCATTTACTAGTGATATTTTTATTTTCATTTTTATATTTAGATTGATTTGAGATTGTTTCTATTTTAAATAACAGAACAGGAAATCAGCCGTAGTAATTAAGTCTTCTCCGTTAGAAAAGTATCTTTTAGTCAATCATTTTTTTCATCACCAGTTCCCTGATTGGGTGTGGTTGTTTTGTGATTTCAACGGACACTCATTGCCACTTCTGTAATGTCAACGAAAACTCGTTGTCACCTTCGTAAATGCTCGTTGGAGTAGAGGCTTTGTAATCGCAGATACAACTATAGTAACGCCATTGAACAATACTTGCGTCAGACGCCTTCGAATAACACTCGCACTAATAGTACTTGTTCGTTAATACTCGCTCAAAAGTAACCACCGTATTGTGATCCGTATAGAAAAATAGTATAGTGAATAGTATAGGGAATAGCGATCCGTATAGTAATAGAGGATAGAATAGAAATGCGATCGGAATAGAGAAATAGTATAGTGAATAGAGTAAAGAATAGCGGCCCGTGTTGTATAGAGGATAGAATGGAAATGATGATCCGTATTGTAATAGAGAGTAGAATAGAAATAGCGATTCATTTAGACGTCACGTGACTTCCTACTTATGAGTTTCCTCTTTGGTCACGTGGTCTACTAATTCAATGATTTGATCGCCTGTGTTTGCTTACTGGCGATCTATGTTCGAACTCAAGTGTCAGCAGCGACACTTTATTGCTATATAACAGGTTGTAAGATCGCTGCACAGCTGATCTGTGCCTGCCATATATCCTGCTTGAAAGCCGGAAAAATATTTTTTCATGCATAGCGCGTCTTGAGCAAATCGAGCTTGCACAGCCCATCCCTCTACCAAGTGAAATCAAAGTCATGGCCGTCCATCTTGAAGGCTCGTTTTGGTTACATTGGTTCTGTTGGAGGAAAGAAATCTCTGCCCTGACTGTTGACTTAGGTTTAAAGGAGAGAATTGGTAAACCATAAACGATTGCTCCTGCTGGTGCCTTATAATTCAATATTTGGAATGAAGTTGGATTCCGTATCACTGAAAATTCCTGTCTAAATACAGAATGTTTCCTTACAAGGAAACAGCTAATATTACCATTAAGCATTACCATTGATACTTACTTTTTTTTTTTAATTTATAATATTGTCATAGGTCATAAGGAAGTGTATCCAAAGGATAATTTAAAGTTGAGTGATGAAAACACGATTTTAAAAAAAAGGTTTCAAAGACACTAAATTAATAGAAAATATCACCAACCTCTCCAAATATCAATTCAAGGGAAAAATTGAGGAACTCCGTTAAAAGAATATAGAAAACAACATTCGAGCATTGATCTCTAGGATGGCATTAAAAAGACCTGCTGAAATAATGCTAAAGTTGAAACAGTAAAAAGGTTAAGAAAATATAAATGAAATAATTACAAGATTGATGATTACGAAAATATAAATAAATAAATACAAGATTGATGAAGTTTTTAAAATGTCAAGCGGTTCATATTAACATTTTAAAAAAATGGAAAAAAAGTAATGGAAATCTTTAAACTTCGTGCTCGTAAAAAGAACGGTTTTTCTCTTGACGCCGCTATTATTTTAACTACCTTCGATCCTTTGCAATGTTTGTTATTTTTAGAATTCTAATAAAAGCTAAACATTTCTTTATGCTTGATAACTGATAAAAATAATAAACACTATTTATTATATTATTTATTTGAATAGTTGGCAAAACATCGGCTTATTGCCAAACTTTATAAAATGGTAAATAATAAGGATTTCCTTAGAGTTGGTTCACATATTTTAATAAAGTGTAACCTGGATATAAGAGACCCGGATATAAGAGAAACCCGGATATAACAGAGATTTTCTCTGGTCCCAAATTAGAGCCTGTGTTAATGTATATAAAATAGACCAAACCCGGATATAAGAGAAACCCGGATATAAGAGAAACCCGGATATAAGAGACTTCTTCTCCGGTCCCGACAACTCTCTTATATCCGGGTTACACTGTAATTTATTAAGTGTTTATAAATTTATGAATGAAAAATAGTATCCATGTTGTTGTATAGGAATAAAGTGTCGCTGCCGACACTGGAGTTTGAACACAGATCACCAGAGAGAAAACGCAGGGCGATCTCATTTTGAATAAGCAGATCACGTGATGACGTGTAATTGATCACCATTTCTACACTATCCTCTATTGGTATACAGGTCGCTATTCTCTTTACTATTCACTATACTATTTCTCTTTACGGACCACTAAACAAATTACTATTCGGTGGTTACTTTTCGAGCGAGTATTATCGAGCAGGTACTATTAGTGCGAGTGCTATTCGAAGGCGTCTGGCACCAGTATTGTTCAACGGCGTTACTATAGTTGTATCGGCGATTACAAAAGTCTCTCCTACAACGAGCATTACGAATGTGACAACGAACATTCCTTGACATTACAAAAGTGTCAACGTGTGTTCGTTAACATCACATAACATATTTATTTCTTTATAAATTGGTAAACGATAAATATTACGTTCTATTAGTTTTAATACACTTGTATTGGCTTTTAGAATGTTGTAAATATAAAAATATTCTTGTAAATAAAAATAAGTTAAAATAATAGCGGCGTCAAAGGAAAATCGTCTGTTTGACACACTGTTTCTTTTTTTTTTTTGTGTTTTTTTTTTTTTTTTTGCAGGCACGAAGGTTAAAGTTTGCCAAAATTATTTTCTATTTTGTTTACAATTTAAAACCTGACATTACCCAACCCGCAAAAATAAGTCATTGTCAATATTTTTATATAGGCTAGAAATATAAACTGAAAATTGCAATATGCTTTTGTGATGTGTGATAAAAGCAGATAGCCTAAATACGCATATGATAGGGTTAATTTCGCCTAGCAACAGAATAAAGGTCACGTGTGAGTCTTATGACATTTGGGGAAGGCAGGTCAGAAGGTTGGCTGACCCAATTAACCGTAGCGACAAATGTCTAGACAGAAGCTAGACAGAGGACGGTTGTAAGTTAGAATTCGCGCCCAAAACTTAAGACACGTGACAGTCAGAGATTCACTCGAGGATCAGTTGCTATCTTGATTTTGAAGAGGGAAGACCTGTAGCCGAAGCGCTGATAGTTTATCAACGGAAAGATAAAACGCATTTGATAGTAATGAAACTTATCCAGTTCAATCCAGGCAACTCCGGACAAGAAGTATTCCTGTTCGATAATCCCAAGTTGAATTGTGTAAAGAAAAGAAACGGATATCCAGAGAGAGGAAGAAAGTAGACCTCTGCTACAAGTTGAATTGTGTAAAGAAAGAAAAGGGAAAACAAAGAAGAAAGTGTATACCTCTGTTGTAAGCTCAATTGTGTAAAGAAGAAGAAGGAAAGAAAGAAGAAAACCAAAGAGAGGAAGAAAGTGTACATCCCTGTTGCAGTAAGTCGGGTTGGAATCCGAGATGTCGACAGAAGAAAAGGAAGAAAAGAAAAAGGCGAAACAAAGAGAGGAAGGAAGTGTATATCTCTGTTTGTGTCGAGAAAAGAAAAGAAAGGACATTGATATAAAAAATGAGAATTGAATATAAAAGATAAGTAATCATATTTTGAACCCATAGAAGAAAGATATACATCCACGAATATTATGTTTGTTGCACTTTGGGGATGTTGTACTTGGCCAAAAAATTCTTCAAAAGCCATGGTCACACCCGGAACCTCTCTGTGGTAAGACGAGCACACTCTACACACTTTCATTCCAAGGACTGCTATAAACAACGGAAGTGAGTAACAGAGTTCAATGTCAATCTGTGCTTTAGCTCCGTTACTATAACAACAATAGTGATACTTTTTTATCTGACCTCGTATCCTGAAAAATAATACCAAATATTTAGATGTGCCTCACGCTTTAGCTAGGACACGCTCTGCTACGTCATTTAAGATAAATCATCATACTTGTTTCCGTATTCTATTTGTAAGGAGGAACACAATTAATTTCCGGAAAATGCTACTTTGTGGAACAAACTCTTGCGTGGATGTTTCACTTCATTCATTAACCCTCTACCATGAGTGGCTCTTGTGTCTTGTATTGGATGAACTTTTTTATAAAAATATTATTGGGAAAACATCGACTTGGATCAACAAAACCTGGCAAAAAAGCTATACTAAAATTTCTTTTACATAAAAAATATTCTTTATTTTGGTGCGTATTGCATTATAAACTCCATAAAAACTGTTACTATCTGGAGCAATATTCACGATGTTTCTTCGGTCACTACCATTTTAAAATTTTCAAGTCTAATTTCAACCTATATCTAACCTATATATGCTTATAATATGCACTTCTTAATTCCTCTTCTTACACTATTATAATAGCTGGACACTCGTATTCGAGCATACCGGTCTACTAGAGCGTCTAGCCAATCCCTATTGCAGACGCCCGCTCAGGCACATTTGTGTTTGCTCAACACCCACAGAGCCAACCTGTGGTTTATACTGCAACTATGCAGAGCATGCCTTAGTTACTTAGTTCTGGGAGAGAGCGTGTTATCTAGTGTGATCAACAATTTGAACAAGGCCAGCACGATTAAGACCTTGGCCACGATGACTTATGACTTTGTGCTACCACAGCTGTTAACGGCACTCAAGGGTTCCGTCTACACAAGATCACTCACAAGGCTTGGGTTAACCCGTGGTATTGTTTTCAGGGACTTTCCAAAGGCGCCGCACACTGGGATCGACCTCGATTCAGTCCTATAAAATCAAGAAGTCTCCTTCCTGACAAATCGACTATGGTGAGATTCGAACCCGGGTCTTATGGTCAGAAAGCGAAAGTTCTAATCACTCGACCACTTACACTATTACAGCCTCATTAACGATCCTTCTACATTGAATGGCTCTGGGGCCTTGTACTGGGTGAATGAAAAAAAAACATGTTCTGGATTAATTTGTAGAAATAACTAAACGGACAAATTCAAACAAATAAATTAAAACTGCTTCCAATAAAATCGAACTTATTTTGAAGAAGCAATGAAGACTTCTGTTCTCCTCCAATGTGCCATGTTTCTTCATGACGTAAGTGATTTTGACTCTCCCCAAATTCTTATCGTTTGTAGCTTGTGGTAATGTTTGTCTTTTCACTATTACCCCCACTCTTTCCAATCCATTCACACAAGCTCTTTAGGTAGGTAACCTCCTGCTTCATACTATCCCTCTTACCTTAGATATATCTTCTGAGTGTCAAATTTTCCAAGCCCTCATGCCTCAATGTGTGCTTCAGAAATTTCAACTGTCCCTTTCTGATTCTAAATGTAAGTGTTCTGTTTGTTTCCATTTTTCTTAAAACTTCCTTGTTACTCACATGCTCAGCCTACGGTATTCTCAGTATACCTCCGTAGAACGATATTTCTTTTACCTCAGTTCTCTTCAACATCTGTCAGGAGATTGTCCAGCATTCATTGCGATATAAATGATTTGGTATTGCGTAACAGTTCTTTTCTTTGTTTCTAAAGAATTATATATGTTAAAATTATTCTTAAAATTATTAAAATTAATCTTTAGATCAATTAAGCTTATATAACTTTGATTGCATGCGCGCGTAGCAAAAGTAAAATCTAAGAGAGATTTATAGAGTCACTGAAGATGAGAAATCACAGTGATTTGCAGGGTGTCTTCAGATCGAAATATTTATCATCGTGATGATTATGATTTTTTAATTATTTTTGTCACTCCCACTAAATATATATGATTCCATAAAAAAATCAATTCACCTGAAGAAGTCCTTTTGAAGAACGAAACGCGTTAGAATTTTTTTTTTAATGTCATTCACTTACTGTTATGGGATTTTACCAATAATAATAATAATGGACTATTCCATACTTAATAAATACTGCGCCTCAGGAGTAGGCAAGTCGATTGGCTGATCGGTTGAACTCTCTGCCTTCGGGCATGGGGGGACCCCGAAGGAGGCTACACCGAAGGGCGGATTCTCTTTCGGGGAGGTAAACCGAGCCTGAACCCGTTTATACGGGTTCAATGGTCATATTTTTGGCCGAGCCCACGGGCTCGGAGATCCCACGTTAAACCGGCCTTGTACCACATGATGCCCACGTGGGGGGCGTGACTAAATATGGTCAGTAGTTCAAGTCGAGTCAAGAGTCGAGTGAGAGGCAGTCCGAAACAGAGTTGCGTTCAGACAATTACTGCAAGACATTGGAATAGTGGTACTGGTCGAGACTACATTGTTCTCTCTACTAAACCTGATTGTTCGTACTAACTCTTCTACTTCTCTGTATATATTCCTGTTTGTAATATATCTGTGTGATTCCATATTTGTGTTGGGCTATCACCGTGGTACAAGGAACCGGACCATAACACTTACCAAAATGAATATTTACAAGTTCATTTTGGAGTCGATCGCAACGCATTAATGGTCATATTCACCTTCGTGTTACCTCCCCACATTTTTTGTTACTCCCGATTCGATCTTCTTTATGGGTCGTGTCGATCATAGCTCTCCACAATTTCCTGTTCTTTGTAGTCTTTAATGAATTTTGTTTTTTGCTATTTCTCTTAAACCCTGTTCCATCATCCGTTTACTCAACATCGTTGAGTAGATTATATGTTGTTTTGCTCTGCTTCACTTGCCCTCAAACTGCCCTGTGCGTATCAGATTTTCCAAGTTCTCTTTCCTCATTATTTGTTTGCATTTTCTCTAAAACCTCCCCGTTGATCACATCTTCGGCCCATGGTATCCTCAACATCCTTCTCTAGAACCACATTTCTGTTGCTTCAAGTCTCTTAGAGGACCTGCTTCAACTTAGAGGAGATTGTCCAGCATTCACTGCCATTTAACGGGACAGACATCACGTAAAAGCTCAGTACTCTTTTCTTTGTTTACTACTCTGCTTCGATCTTGGTGTGTGTCGCACTTTCCGTCCTCTATTCTTACAATGTCTCCCTTTAGTTTCACTTCGTCGTTCGCCGAAAGAAGTTAAAACTCTACTTAACATTATTTCCTTTGTTTGCAGCAACCTTGCTTGTTTTTTTTGGGTTTTTTTCAGGGTTGAACACGGAACAAATTATATGTACCTTTTGACTTTTTACATAAGACATAAGTAGAAACTTTCACTGAAACTCAAATAACAACAATTCTTCTAAATACTTCCAGATTCTCTTCAGTATTCTAACTGTTGTGGATTCCGGGATGAAATCCGGTAACAATAAATAACAAACGCCAGGAATGAATATATGAAAATAATGTATTAACGTAATAATACAAACTGGTAAAGCAGGTTAGTAGTTCCAGGAATACGAGTTAGTAGCAAAATATATATATATATATTCTTTGGTATTGAAATATCGCTGTATGACTTCTTACTGAGTCTACGTGCTCGCTCATTGTGGCTTCTACAACGCTGTTACCTCACCCCTCACTCTTCCGGTTACCTACAACCTTTTACTCTGTCACTCTGGACTCGACTCTTCGATCTTGCTCTCAGGTATTCACTGGCAGTAGTATAAGTATACACTGGGTGAGTCCATTTGTATAAAAAGTGGTGGACCCCTCAACACTAACTCATCTATATAATAAATGCGAATGTCAGAGTGTCACACTTTTTCAACTTTACTCCTAGAATCCTTAGTCCAACATGTCATACCATTTTGGAATCAGGCCGATTCTGGGAGCAAATTAAAAACACTCCGGGCCGGATCGGACCCGCAAACCCGAAAATTGGAATTCTCAAGTTTTCATCATTGCGAATGTTTACATATTCTGCCATCTTGGTTTCTACTGATAAAAACAATTAAAGGGACACAACTTTCTAAGTTTCAATAGCTTATATTCAAATAAAAAAATACTGTTCTCAAATTTCAGTGTTTCAAAATAAAATTGTCCGTGTTTCATCTTTACTCCTAGAGGCCGTAACCGAACATATCATGGCATTTTGAAATAAAGCTGACTACCTGGGCAATTAAAAACATTTGGGGCTAGGTCCGGATCCCCATTCCCGAAATTTTAGATTCCCAAATTTTCATTACTGGTGTTATCTTCGGCAATTTTTTTACTTGATTTTCGCGAAAAAAGTTTTCGTACGATATCATTTTTTTATAACTTGGAAACAAATTTAGGAATAATAAAAATTAATTGAGAAATCCAGCGAAAGTTACGCATGAAATAAAATATTTTTGTACGGAAAATAAGGACCTACGTACATCAGATTGTCTTTGGCGGTAGAAGAATTATCGTTGAACTTTTAAAAGGTAAGCTTAAACATTAATTCAATACTTAAATGCGGCGATCGATTTTGAGTTCTGTAGTTTATTGTTGCCTATCATATCTACTCCTCCTTACTTATTGTTATAAAAGCCCAATGAAGAGCGCCCCACAGGAGCCAACTTAAATGCCGCTCGATGGGGCGGCTTTTAAACTAGTTTTTAATAATTTTGCTGTCTGGATAATTTTGATTTTTTTCTCAAGTTGCCAGTTCTTCAAAGTAGATTTCAAGGTTCTCCGGAAATGTTCCATAG